CTTTTTGGTTTTCCAAGACAGGGTTTCTCTGTGGCTTTGGAGCCTGTCCTGGAACTAGCTCTGTAGACCAGGGTGGTCTCGAACTCACAGATATCTGCCTGCCTCTGCCTCCCGAGTGCTGGGATTAAAAGCCTGCGCCACCACCGCCCGGCCAAACTTGACTTTTTCATTGCCGTCATCTTCTCTGCAGTAGATTGGTGCTGTCAGAAGCAGATGTATCTTATTGTCATGAAAAGCCTTATGTTATTAAAACATCTTAAACGCCATATTCTGTAGATCTCTGAAGTGTTTGAAGATGACCTGTCTATCTAAAATATATCTGTTTGACCCTGAAAAAATACCTAAGGTGACTGCAAGTTTGATTGTTATAGATTAACTACTATTTTACATTTCTTAATTTTTCCTAAACATTTTGCAACAATAACTTTCAAGGACTAGAACTTTACATTAATTTTTTTTTTTTGGTTTTTTTCGAGACAGGGTTTCTCTGTGGCTTTAGAGCCTGTCCTGGAACTAGCTCTGTAGACCAGGCTGGTCTCGAACTCACAGAGATCCGCCTGCCTCTGCCTCCCGAGTGCTGGGATCAAAGGCGTGCGCTACCATCGCCCGGCCTTACATTAAATTTTTAAATGAGTTGCTTATGTACAATATCTTAAACTAGAGTAGAAACATATATACAGTATGTTCTAACAGAAATAGACTTAGTTTTGTATTAATGTACAAAATTTTCCTAAGAATAGAAACATATAATTGAAACAAAAAAAACTTAAATTTGTGTCAAATACAAAAATCTGTACCAATGTAAAATATTTGAGATTAATAGTTTCTTTTTAGTTTAAAAGTAAATTTCAATAATCTAACCTTTTATCCTATCATTCCTTTACCCCCCCCTTTTAAATCTTTTCAGAAAGAGATCCCTAACTCTAACCATCTTTGCTTAGTCTTTTTTCCTTCGTTATGACCAGTAGTAACTTTCACCCAATCCTCCAAAAGGTGATAAACATCCATAGCCCACTGAATGACAAAAAACCAGTCACCCCACCTCTTGGTAATATGAACATCATGTTCTTAAAAGAACTTCCTGTTGCCTGGGGGCAATAACATCCTTTAGGGACTCTGAGAAAATTAAGACAATGGTCAAGTCTTAGGAGAGCTAGCTGTTGTCCGCTCTCAGTGTGATGGGACTTATTTGAAGTCCTGACTGGAGTAGTCTGTGAAGCTGTACTATCTCAGCTAACCTGTTTGAAGTTATTCTGGATAAGGAATTTTGAGGACGTTGTAGCAGAGGCATTCTGAGACTGGATCCCCTGGGCTGCATGTCTGTATTGGTGTCTGTTCCTTTTTTTTCCCCCTGAAAACATAAACTTTTAAAGGTACCATACAAACCGGCATTAACACAAGTTAGATTCATCCAGAGTTTCTTCTCTGCCCGGAAGTCCCGCCTAACTTCTCTTGCCTAGCTATGGATCATTCATAAACCAATTGGGTGCCTCTGGCAGGTAAGGTAAAATAGCAACACATCTTTACACAGCTTGCTCAAATATCACTCTTGGCTAAACAGCGACCTTGACCTCCTGATCCTCTTGCTGTCACTTTCCAGGTACTAGAATTAGTGCAGGAGCTACTAAACGGGACTGTTTATGGTTTGACAGATTATTGCTTTTCATAGTTCACTTTTTACCTATTGTGATCGATAAGTTGAATTATTTACACTTTCTAAAGTCTTATCTTACATAACTAGAGTTATTAATAATTTTTAAAAGGTATTTTAATGTATACTTTAATATCATTTACTTTATATTTGTTTCATAGAAACCAAATAATCAATTTAGGTATTCCCCCTTATGGTAAATATTAAGGTTCAGCCAAAAATCTTTTATATTAATAGTTGTTAACTTTTGGAATTAATTTGCAAATGAGCACGGAGATTTGAACGGTCCAGATCATCTTTAAGAATCACTCAAACTGAGCTGCGCGTGTTCTCCCATAAAGTGCCATCTTCTGACAGGTAGAGGAGAACACCAGCCAAAACTTTTCCACTCACGAGTTTCCATTATAGGTGACTGCCTGCAAGGCAGCTTTAACTTGAACAACATTTAAAGCAAATACTTGTATTCTTATTATCTTACTGTTTAGAATGCACAAAGCCATTTCCATGCCTTCTAATACACTTTAAGCATATTCTTTCCTTTATCTACTTTGACTTTCCTCTGAGCTTTTATGCTGAACTTTCTTCCATATGTATTTGTTTCTTTGGAAACCGAAATTCTCAAGATGCTCAGATTGAGTATCTGTTAAAGAGTAACATTACCATGTAGAGGATTTTATATATAATTTTGGGAGGAGGATTTTTTTTGTTTTTTAATGATTCTTCAGTTTACTGTTTATAATATTAGGAAGTACTAAATGATGATGAACTGAAGTCTTGTCAGTTGGAAGCTGACCAGTGTATAAGAAAGGAAACAAAAGAAGTGTTTAGGATTGCTTCACCTTGTCCACTTTTAAAAACATATTACTTTAGGTTAGTTGGCATGGTGATGTAATCCCATTGCTTGAGAGGTCATGACAGGACCAGCCCATGAGATCATTCTCCCTTGCATAACAGGTCAGTGCCAGCATAGGCTTTCTGTACAACCTTGTCTCGGCACCACGCCCAACCCCTAAAACAAAACAAAACAAAACTCCACCAAACTGGAAAAAAATTAATCTGTATTTTGTTTGCTAAGTCAGATTCTCTTTCATTAAGACGCTTGTCTAAATACATCTCTAGGTAAAAATCAGTTTTCTGTTTTTTAAAACAACTGAAAAGCATGCTGTGGCAATCTAGCCTGAGAAAGCATTATATACATTTGATATTTGGGTTGAAGATTATGTGAGTATTTTGTTTTAGTTTTTTTGTACTCTTGAAACATCTAAATTTGATCATTTGTAATCGACTGTTTCTTGTGACTTTAAAGTTCTTAGAGGTTAGTAGAGACAAGTCTGATACGCATTGTATTGTGACAGACTGTAGTGGACACATCTAGCTACAGATTCCTTAAGGAAAATTGATAATCTGGGCCCAGTAGCACATGCCTTTAATCCCGGCATTGCAGAGGCAGAGACAGGAGAATCTTCAAGGATAGTTGGGTACTACATAGACTCTGTCACCAAAACAACAACAAAAAGCACAACCTTCGTAAGAAACCTCTCAGAATACAGTAGGAGGCTGTAGAGCCCAACACGTGGATTCCATTGCAGACAATGAGGAGAGCTTGCATTGTCAGCTGCATTCAGGTATTGCCTTTGTGAGATAGCGGGCACCCAGCAAGTGCTGTAGGAACGTTAGAAAATGTCAGGTCCTGCATTTCAGCAAGCGTCGTCTGCCAGTTATAGGGAGCACTGAGAAATCCCTCCCCTCCAGCCCTTTCTTGGGAGCTCTCTCCAGCTCTCATCATCTGTAGAAAGAAGTGTGGTGTGAAAAGCATGTGGTTTGCTGGATCTCTTCACTGCACATCTGAGAACCATCGGGTTTTGAATAAATGATAAGTGAAGATTTTGGTGAAGACTCAAACTTCAGCTGCATGCGTATTTTCCCTTGCTGTGCAGGAAGTGGAGGCAGGAGAATCACAAGTTAGAGACTAGCCTGGGCTACTTAATGACTTCAGTAAGCTAGTTAGCAAAGCAGTGGGGCTGGAGTACAGCGCGCTGACTAGGACAAGGTCTGGTTCTAGTTTCAGAACCGCAGAACAACACCACCACCCCTTAAACCTAGGGATATGTGGTTATTTTGATCATAGTGTCCTGCCAAAAAAACTGTCTTTAGAGATCTGTAGGTTTCAGCCTTATAATCACTCTTGCTTTTGTGCTTGCTCCCTCTTCCCCTTCACAGAAAAGGTGACTTCTATCCTCCACATTACTATACCAAAGCAATGTAAGCAGGTTTCCATTCGACTTGGAAATATAACTAGTACATGTTTGCATATTTCTTACACTTTCTTAATGGTACTGGATAGATAAGTGCACAGAAATTAGAAGTTGGGGAGGCACATCATTAATATTTTTGTAAAAATGCTGCTACAATTACAGGTCCTTTTGGAATAAATCATGGGATTGAACTTCATTCAGATGTGGTGGAATATGCCAAGGAAAAACTGGAGAGCTTCATCAAAAACAGTGATAGCTTTGATAAGTAAGTATTTCTACCTGTAGCTTTGATGTGAGAACGATTAGTGAGCATGTGTAGAATGCCTGTTCTTGACCAGTACCAGCTTTTTGATACTGGTTAAGTGGATACTGCAGACATCTGTGTACTATGAGAAAAAAATAGGCGTTACCATGTAATTTTTTTTATTAAATTACAGATAGATAATATGTGTTTACTTTCCCTTATTAAATGTCATATGGGTATCCGCTGGAGAGAAACACAGTTTGTGCTCCCCTTTACTGTAACTGTTTTTAAACCTTCTGCATAGTAGTTTAATAGTCTGTCCTCTGTTGGTACCGTAATTTGTATGTCAGTATTTAAGGGTCTCTCTTTACAGTATTCAGTTACTTCCTAATAGATTTAGTAGAAATTGCTGTAGAAATACATCTGTGTGTGTCATTGTGGGATCGTGTTTGAGAAAGCCATTTTATTGAACTGTTTTCTTCCCAGGTTTCCCTTTCTAAGACATGTTACATAGCTGTTGATGCTTGGCCAAAAGTGAAAGTGAAGGTTTGGCGTGTAATCACATTGAAACTCTGCCTTGACATTTTTATGGAACAAGGGCTCTTATGCTTGAACTAGAGTAAAGCCCGTTAATTGAAATACCCTACTACATGTAGAGCTTTGGCATGTCATTTTTCCGTGTGTGTCATAGATTCAAATAGAAAAAAGGCTTTAAAAGAATAGGAAGCATATGCTTAGATAAACACAGCCACTCTACAGGGTTTCAGTGTAGAAACTGACCCAGGCTTCACACATGGCTTATTGGCAGGGGTCTCTCACCCCATCCCTGGCTGTAACTGCCAGTGTGAAAAACAGTGTGCATGTGCATGTGTGTTTTGGAGAGGTAGTTTCTGGGCCACCACAAGGGGTTTCATCTTGAGAGAGCACACCTCGAGGAGAGATCCAGAAGCCAAGAACAACTTGACTGTCATCCACAGAGTGTATTTTCCCTTTCTTCCCTTCTTTTGCTCCTCTTCCTCTTCTCCTTGCCCTTTCATTTTTACCTCCTTCACTGTTGTGGGTTTTTTTTGTTTGTTTGTTTGTCCTGGTGTGAACGATGCTTAAACTGGTTCAAGAACACAAAACTCAGACTCCCTAGCAAAATCTGCAGCCCCTGAAGTCCAGGCAGGCTTGTGCAACACGGGTGTGACTGTAGTCAGATTATTCGGCTCTTTGGGCAGGATCGAGGGTGTGCAGATACTCAGGCTTTTTTTTTTTTTTTTTTTTTTTAATAAACACGATAGATTTAAGTCAGCCAGTTAAATGATCAGTTTGCTGAAGAAAACCGTTTCAGATTTTCAGATTTATTTTATATGTACGAGTGTTGTGCCATGTGGATGCTAAGAGTCCAACCCCAAGAGCAGCAAGTGCACTAAATCACCGAGCTATCTCTCCAGCCCCCCAAACTATTAATGAATAATTAGCACCTGCTTCATACTGTCAGCCATTTTCAATTATCTACTGCATTTATTCCAAAAAAGAAACACATTTAACAGAAACTGAAGTTTTTAGCCCAAGTTCTTTAATAAGAAATTGCGATTAAACTTTAGAATTTGTTTGTGTCTTCATTATTTTCCTTCTATCTAATGGCTGATGTGGTTGCTGAGTCTTGAGATGTGGGAAAAATTAATTTTTATCTAGTCATGGGATTTTTTTGTTTGCCTGCAAAGTATGGCTTTTGATATTGAAAATTAATCTGGCCATAAGAACTTTTTAAATATATTTTAGCTTAGAAAGTATAATGGTAATGTTAACAAATGCTCAAAATCTATAGCAAGATCTGTTACATAGTATTAATACATTTCATCTGCTGATGCATGAAGGTTCAGTTTCTAATCATTAATCACAACAGGCTTAAGGAAGACAAGTAACCAAACAAGTAGTTCTAGATAATAGTAAAACATGCAATGATTTTCATTTCGTATACTTTAATTCATAACAAATCATTTTGAATGCTATTTGGATGTCTCATTATTTGGCGTGTGTGCGTGTGTGTGAGGGCGCACTCAGTCTATTTACTTGTTTGTGACTTTGGACATGGAGGTGTATATGCTTGTGTAGAGGCCAGAGATTGATGTGGGGTCTCCTTCCTTCATCGTTCCTTATCTGTATGTTTTAGGATAGGATCTCTCAAGTTGAAGCTCATTTACTTAGCTAAGTGCCTGCTGCCATGCCAGGTTTCTTACATGATCTTTTGGGGTACAAACTTAAGCCCTTACTTGATGGCAGATATCTTATCCACTGGGATACCTATTCAGCTCTTCTCTCGCAAAAAATAAAAAAATAGTTACTGTTACACATGTTTTTAAACCAATCCCTGCCATTGATACCTATTAACTAAATGCTTACAGCGTGTTTTAGAAACTTTTATATTAATCATTCAAAAGAAGACAGTAGGGGCAATTTTATTTTACGTCTTAGGCACTGCTCTTGTTTCTATTGCTGTGATAAACGCCATGACCAAAACCAACCTGGGAAGTAAAGGGCGTATTTCTGCTTACAGTCCATCACTGAAGGTAGTCAGGGCAGGAACTGAAGGAGAGACCATGAAGGAGGGGTGCTTACTAACTTGCCTCCCTCCTATGCCTTGCTCAGCCTGCTTTCTTATACAGCCAAGGACCACCAGCCTCGTGGTGACAGTTCCCACAGTAGTAGGCAAGGTCTTAACAAGTCAATCAGAAATCAAGAAAATGCCTCACAGACTTGCCTACATGTCAGTGTGCTGGAGATATTTTTTCACTTGAGGTTCCCTCTTCCCAGATGACCCTAGCTCATGCCAAGTTGACAAGCTAATCAGAACTGGTATGAAATAATACTTACTGTTCAATATCTCAATTACAAATGGGTCTCATTCAAAGAGTGGCTAGCACTAGGAAACTGTTTCATTTTGCATCAACTACAACTGGTAGAAAGTTAAGAAATCAAAGTTGATTCATTGGGCCAGTGCTTTATGCTTTTTACATAGTTTGGTTTTGGTAACCAGTTAGAGGATATATTTTTCTTTTTGTCATTTGTACTTTGACGATCTTTTAGTTTTTTTTTTTTTTAATGCTGGGGATATTATTGCAACTTTACTTCAATTAAAAGAATAAAGCATTTGTAGAATGCAGAGTTCTTCTAAGCAATTACATATTTAATTGTGTATGGAGGTATAAAGACATATTAATTAGTTACAGTCAATATCAAGGAAGATTGCTGATTAATTTTGTACTGGTCATCTCTAGAATTTAGCATGGAGAGAACAAGTGTTTAAAATCCAGTTCTGTTCTTCATTCAGGGAGTCCAGGCCTTCTCATCAGCTCCTTCCTCCAAAAATATTGCCATGTTGGGCATGTTTTAATCTATACTCCAAAGGTTTTCTTACATATATCTGCTTCAGGTCAGGGTGAACTCACACATAGGAGAGGGTGAGAGGTCTATTAGCTAACCAGTGTTAGAATATGTAATGCATGATGTAGTGTGTGTGTGTGTTTGTGTGAGTGTTTTTTTATGTACGAACTTGGATCTTTCATGTCTTAAATCAAGTTTTTTGAATAAAAGAGTTCTTAATGTCTGTTGAACTACGACAGCACTGCATGAACAGGTGCATGGCTCAAAGCAACTCCTCAGAGTTGATTGTACTTGGACATGGGGAGCTAGAGTGAAGGACTTATTCCTTAGTGATAGTGTTCACTGAACTTCCTTATGAACCAGTCTGATTTCAAAAGTCTTCCTAAATACAAGTGACCAGACGATACTTTAGGATTCCTGGGCTAAATGATCTCTTAGGGCAGCCAGCAATTTTTACCCCTGCAGGAAAAGGTGGCTCTGCTACCAGGAAAAGGATTGGACTTGGCATGTTCTCGTCGCATTGTTCTAGTTTATTAACCTCAAACAGTGTTTACATACCACAAAATGTCATTTTAATTTTATTGAACATTTTCATTACATGTATTTATAGGAGTTAATTCTTACCTCCCACTGCGTGGGTCCTGAGGGTCAAACTCCAGTTGTCAGATGTAGCAATGAGAAATTTTACTCATAGAGCCAAGAGTTCATTTGACAGTCCCAAAGTTTTTTTGTTGTTGTTGTTTTTATTTTTATTTTATTTTTTTATTTTTTGAGACCCGGGTTTCTCTGTAGCTTTGGAGCCTATCCTGGAACTAACTCTTGTAGACCAGGCTGGCCCTGAACTCATAGAGATCTGCTTGCCTCTGCCTCCTGAGTGCTGAGATTAAAGGTGTTAGATCTAGACTAGTGTTGGGGCCTTCATTGCTGAAGGGTTTTTTAGAAGATTGGGTGTTTAGTTGGGGGAGAGGGGTCTCTGCAAATAACAAGACCGGCAGAGTAATGATCTGTGTGAGGTAGAAGGAAAGCAGGTTCAATACAACGCAGTAGCTGGTGTTGGGTCAGACTTTTAGAGTCTGACACCAGGTGGTTTACTTTAGGCATATTTAAGCGCAACACAATTTTGGAAAGATTCCTGGTGTAACTTAATTCAGTCTCGTATACAACAAAGCTTAGGACATGTTTACACTGAAAATCTTTACAAAATACATGTGACCTTTCTCATGAAGATGGGTTCTATTCACTGAGAAATAATGCTTAATATCAACATCTAGGGAGAGTGACTGAGATCAATGTAAAAGTTTGTGGGAGCCAAGTGCAGCCTGGCGCTATAGAAAGCATAAACCACCAGGCTGTTAACTACATCAATTCCCTGTTTTCTGGGCTAAAAGACATATCCGTCTCTTCTGTTGAAGAGACAACCGGTGTGTTTAACATTCCTGGCTTCCCTAGTGCTTGTCTGTGGGCATCAGGACCTCATGCCCAATTTACCTTCATTTAGTATTTATGCAGTAAACAAAATGCATCTCCCCAGCTGTGAATACTTGGGTGAGTATTTTAGCTAAGGAAGCTTGAATTATAAACTTGGACCTCATGGAAAAGTTTGTCATTAGTAACACATTTACTTATAATTGTGCATATGAGTTTACTTAGCA